TCCTGTTCAAGAAGGGTCACTAAAGAACTGCCCAGAGCCTCCTGGGGAGTCGCCCTGTACAGTCCCGACCAGGAGCTGCTTGCCACAGCCTCGGGGCCCGTCTGGGCTCATCTCCCTCAGACGCCCCAGGCAGGAGAGTTTTGTACCTTTTTGGCGGGGGTCCAATTCATTTCGGGTCCCTCGTCGATTGTTTCCGACTGCGAGAGCGTTGTTAAACTTTTTGGGGCCGACCGTTCCAGGCAATTCAGTGACAGAGGCGTTTATTCAGGCCACTTGTTACAAGCTAGAGCTGAGCCAGGAATTAAACATGTTTCGCTGGTTTCGCATGTTAAATCCCACCAATCGGTAGACGACGCTTCGATCTCCCCTCAGCTTCGTTTCTGGGGGGAAGGGAATGACCAGGCGGATGCCCTGGCCAAGGCCGCTCTCGCGAGACACCCAGCAGATTTGAAGCTAGAGGAATCTCTCACCACCGACATCAAATCTGCTAGAGCTTATTGTACTCTGGCGATGCACCTTCTTCCCCATTGTGCTCCCCTGCGTGAGTACGGAGAAGTAGAGTACGTCCGCCCGCCGAAGCCAGTGAGAACTGGCAGAGGGCTGCATTTCTGGCGACACTTTGGAACTTTTTGGAAGTGCTTGACTTGCCTCAAAGTGCGTCGCTGCCCCTGGCCTCGTAAGCCCCCTTTGGAGGACTGCCCAGACACGAGGAAGCTGCCCCTTCAACATATGAGCAGTCTGGGGCACTCCTGCATAGGTCTGGAATGTTCTGACTTGGCCACTTTAATTCTGCGCATTTCATGTAGATCCTACTCTTCTCACGGGAGATTTAGAGGCCTGCCGGTTAAGTGCCCGACTCGCCCGTCGCGTTTTGGAAGAAGGGTGTGGTCGGAGGTCTCCAAGGGACGTCACCCCAAAAGACCTTCTTTAGGCGTTGACTGCCCGATCTTCAGCTCGGATTTATCCCGCTTGCCTCGAGGCCCCCACAGGCACCTCGCTGCTCCCTCGGGGCCCCCACAGGACACTGATTCTGAGGAGGAGGCCCATCTGCAGGATTTGGCCTCGGAGCTTCTTTTAGCATTGCAAAAGCGAGATGCCCATCAAGAGCTGCGACGGGACCATCCCGCTTTCTTGGCGAGGAGGCGCCAGGATCAGTCTGACAGTTCCGATTAGTAATTATCTTCAGGCATTCGCCTTTATTGGTTTATTCTTTCCAGCACGGCCCGATGCGACTGTCCATTCGGCACGCGTCCGTGCTTGACCCCACATCTGGGGCGAGGTCAACGGCCGTCCTGGCGCTATTTGCACCAGGGGCTGAGGACCTCGTCGTCCTTGTGTGGGTGGTCGACTTTGTTTATTTTGTTTGTATCGGCCTTGGGCCGCTGAGTTTCTCTTTTATGCCTTTGCTCTACATCTGGGGCGAGGCAGTGTCGTCCAGGCGCATCCAGCACCTGGGATAGAGCCTCGTCGTCCTTGTGTAGGCTTTTACCTTCGTGTGCGCGCGCGTCGTTTCGCACGTGTGTCAGGCACCCCTTTTCAGGGGGAAGGTGCGCGCACATCCTGAGTGCGTTTCTAGCGGAGCACGGGGATAGATCTATCCCGACCGTCGCTCGAATTTGGCGCTTGCTGTGGCTAGGTAGCGTCGCTCCTGGCCCCAACGCCTAGGCCCTCTTTCTGCGTCGTGCGGCCGTTTCGTGGGTGTGCGCGCGCGCGTATGGCACGGGTATTGGGCACCTCTTCCAGAAGTAGCGCGGCGCTCTCGAAGAGGCGTCTCTTTTCTCGGGGACACGGGGACAGCTGGCCCCGTCGGTCTCTCGTCTTTTTTGGTGTTGCTGTGGACTGGAGTTCAGGCTCCTAGCCCCAACACCTCGCAGCCCAGCATCCTGGCTGATGTCCGCCCGTCCTCTTGTGCAGTCGAGGGCGGGCGGTCCGTGCTGCTTTTCCAGCTGCAGTCTCCCTGCAGTTGGCCTTGTATCCCTGCCTAACTCTGGCGGGGAATTTTCTGCAGGCTGTCGCCGCCCCAGTCCCTGCAGGATAACACTTTGGGGTTGAAGCGAAAAAAAGTGGCTCTTCGCCTCGCGCGCTGCGCATTGACTTCCCGCGGGTATTTTCGAAAGTGCCGCACTCGGCGCGCAGGTTCCCCTGGGCGGGCCTCGCGCGCGGACTTGCAGGGCCGGGCGTCCTGCGAGGGTCTCTTGCGGCCGCGTCCGCAGGGACATCCTTGAGGCTTCGTTTCTCTCGACGGACAGAGCCTCGTGCCTTGCCTCTTTCACAGCATATCCGCTGCACACGCTCTCAGCCCCCCTCTGAAGCCCGTCCTCCTCCTCCTCCTCCTCCTCCTCCTCCTCCTCCTCCTCCTCCTCCTCCTCCCCGTCCTCCTCCTCCTCCTCCTCCTCCTCCTCCTCCTCCTCCTCCTCCTCCTCCTCCTCCTCCTCCTCCTCCTCCTCCTCCTCCTCCCCCCTCCCAATGAATGACCGTTCGGCCCCCTCACTCTGTCGCGTCGTCGGAGATCTGGCGGCGGCGGCAGAAGGCGGCCCCCCTCCGCCCGTCTCTGAAGCCTGCGCCGTCTTACAGCCTGCCCGTCGCACGGCCTTTTCGGCCAGCGAAGGAGTTGTGCTGCTGGCTGTGCGATGGAGTCCACACGAAGGCAGTCAGCGAGAGGTGCGGGCGGGTGGAGATAGCGACGAAGAGTTGCATGCATCGGCGGCGAGCGAGGGGGAGAAGTCAGAGTGGGGAAACCTTCTCAGAAGGCGGCCGGGCCTCTCAGGAGCCCTCCGGCCTTCTGAGAAGTGTGAGTGTCTTCGGCGCAGGCTTTGAAGACTTCTCAGAATGCCGGGGGACTGCCTTTCCTTCTGCGAAGGCCCGCCCTGGCTCACTTCCCCCCCCGGGGCTCGCCGCCGAAACAAGAGGTGACGGCGGGTGGAGGTAACGACAAAGAGTCGCACACATGCACGACGTGAGGTGCAGGAACCGGAGGGAGCGAACACGAGGAATTGATAACACCCGATGCGAGCATCCATGAATCCAATACATTGCGGGTGTCCCGCGCGGATTTCTTGGATCGGCGTTGTGTTTCCATCCCCGGCGCGCGGAGCGTGCCAGGGGCGGCGCAGGAGGCGCCGCCAGGGGGTGTACAGTGCTGTCCAAGAAACCTTCGCGAAGGTCCGAAAGCTTCTGCTTGTGCCGCAGTGTTTGAGCCCTCCGATCAATCGGTCCCAGGCTGAGGTTCAGGCGTGTTCGCCGCCTGGGGAGCTGGCATTCTCGACCTCGGGAGGCGGCGGCTATGTTGATCACGTCGGCCCCACTGGGCCCATACGCATTCATGCCCGGCGCTCCCGGGGTCCCCAGGACATCGTGCTCCCAGGCGGCGGGCATCCACACATTGTTCATCTCTAATTCTTCGGAAGTTCTTTGATTCTTGGGGGGGCCAAGATCCTCTCCTTTCTAATTGTTCTATCCTGGGCCTCTTCCTGGCCTCTAGGGGGCAAGGAACAACTGGAAACGAGCACATTTAGAAAATAGGCACGAGCAGAAATGAACGACGTGCGATTATGGGGGAAGAGTTCGAAGAAGCCTTCCGGGACACGCTGCACCCTCACGCAAGCCGCAGCGGGGACTCTTGTCCCGCTCAAATCCGTCCAGCGCTGGTACCTGGATATCCACCGGGGCCAGCCCCGGCCCGCTCTTCGGGGCGGTGGCGGCGACGAGGAGCCCCTCCGGGAGGCCCGGAGATGGGACGAACGACACCGCGGAGAGGGCCGCGGTTGTCTCGGTTGGCGCCCCTCCCGGGAGGAGAGGCGAGGGAGGGGAAGTCGAGGCCTCCTCCCGGGAGGTCGGAGCAGATGAGGCCGGAAGATCGCGCCGCAGCGCCGATGCATCGGCGATGCGGCTCGCTCGATGTGGGACCCAACTTTTTCCATGCCGGCGTCGCCGATGCACCGCCGGCGTCGCCCTTGCATCGGCGATGCGGCGCGATCCTCCGACCCTGTCCACTCACACCCCATCTGGGAGGCCTCTTAGGAATGGGCACCAGATCGGCAGATCAGAACACGGTGGCGGGGGGTCGGTTTCTGAGACGGCGGCGGGGCCTCTCAGCGGGTATGGGGGGGCCGCCTGAGACGCCCGCCCCGTTTCTGAGAAGCCTTCTCTGGAGCCTCTGTGGCTCCCAGGAAGCCCCCCCGGCTCTCTGAGAAGCTCCCGCCTTCTGCTCAGAAGCGGGCCCTCCCAGCGCCACCCCCGTGTGGGCGCAGCCAAGACGATAGGGGGGGGCAGCAGCTCCAGAGACGACAGGGGAGAGGCTCGGCCGGGCGATACTCGGCGGGGGGACGATCTCACACGCCTGGAGGCCCACAAGGGGTCGGCAGATATCGCTTCTCTCTGGTTCGGAAGGGTTTCGAATCCCTCGCGCGTTCGAGCTTCAGGGCTCCCAGGGCGGCCCAAGAGGCCCCCAGGATCGCGATCGGCCAGCTGAACTATGGGCCAGGCTGAGCTCGGCCAGGCTGAGCTCGGCCGGGGCCGAATTCAGCCTGGCTGAGGCCGGCCTGGCCGAGGTCAGCCTGGTCGAGCTCAGCCTGGCCGGGTTTGCGGTCAGCAACGGCGGCTCAGCGTGTCGCTCTGCCAGTCCTGGCCCACCACGCTTCGGAGAGACGCACCAGGGCCATCCCAGCCCTCCGCCCCGCAGAGCGTGGCGAGACGCTATCCGCTCGCAGGGTACAGTCGAGACTGATTAGTAGGTCGACCCTGCCAAATCGAGGGTATCCTTGTGTCCCGAGCTTCGCGACCCATGCCTTCTCACATTCCTGTGGCAATATGGCCCTCGGAAGGGTCTTGTGTCCTCTCGCGTGTCCTCTCCAGTCAACCCCGACTGTATGTGCAGCGTGTCGCCGGGGCCGCCGCCGCGACGCGCTCCGCAAGAGTTCCCGACCGCAGCTGCTGTCCGGGGGGGGGGGGGAGGCGGCGGGGGCGTGGACGCGGCCTGCCCGCCGGCGCGGCCCCTCCAGGCGCTGTGGGCCGCGGAGGCCGCGGGCGTGGACTGCGAGGACGTGGGGCGCTCGGCGCGGAGAGACCGGCTCTCGGGGGCAGCGCCCTGGGGTATGGCGTTCGAGGCTCGAGGTTCACAGGAGCGAGCAATGGCAGAAGCATGACAAAAATCTGGATGCAACGCAAGTGCGGCTATCGTAGATAGCATCGCCATGTTCAGCATCGTGGCGTTTTTGTGACGCGTGCCCGTTTGCGATGTGTAAGAGTGGCCTTTCGTCGGTGTGACCCTTGGTGCGGGCACATTTGGGGCCCCCGACCGCTGAATGCGAGGCGACAATAGCTTCTTGCGCGCTTGTGTTTGAGCCCCCTGCGGCCCCCACGAAGCCGCGCACCAAAGGTCATTCCTTGCCCAGGGTTACTGTTGCGTGTAGCCGAGCCTGGGGCCCGGTGAGGGCTCCCATGAGGCCAAAATTTGGATCATCCATTACTGACAATTTCTGGTAACGCTCTGGACGAATTGGTCACGACCGCAATGCGGCATCTGGTCGCGAGTCCCAGTAACGAGCGATCTGTCGACCTCTTCGAAACCATCGTTCGGACCCCAACGCGCCGTCTCTTCCCCCTCCGGTCGCGACCGAAATCCGTCGCGCCCGAAATCCATTACCGAATCTGTTTGGTCGCGGATAATCTGGGTGAGGGCTCTCCGAGGCTGAAAACGGCCGAATATTTACAGTCGCGGTTGTTGCTGGGAGACGCGAGGGAATCTGAGGGCTAATAGCTACCAGCCTGAAACACATCCTCACCCTTACGATCAACACCTTGTTCTTTCGATGCCGCTCGTAAGGATGCCCTCATCCTCTGAGAGCGCATGCCTAAGAGCCACTGGATTTCACCACACCGCCGACCCACTGGGGGCCGTAGATGCCGAGATCAGACTTGATCACCAGAAGTCGGTTAATGTGTTGCTATGTGTCTCATACTGGCTGTAGCGACGATCGTGCTCTCGTTGTCTCCCATCGATCTTCAATCGTCCATCGTCGACCCTGCGACACTGACGCCCAGAAGACACGCATCCAGGGCCCCGAGAGCATGAAGAACTATTCTTCTTCGCCTGCGAGGACCCTCTCGCCTCTCGTCTTGGGCTGTCTTGGGCGCCTCATGGGCCGTCCCTTGGTCGCCTGGGGCCGTCCCGGAGCCCTCTTGGAGGCCTCTTGGCCCGTCTTGGGTCGATCTCGAAGGCCTCTGAGGCAGTCTCGGACGCCCAGAGAAGCAATAGGAGACGAACGCCAGTTGTGTTGTCCTCAGGGAGTGGGATGGTTCTTGCTTGTCGCGGCCCTCGTCAGGGTCGCCCTCTGGAGTTTTTGACAGACGTCTTCGAGACTTCCAGAGGTGTTAGGAACCACGAGACCATGCTGGGACTTCCTTGGGGCCACCTCTGGGGCCCCGCGGAGAGCATGGCGAGGCACCCTGCAGGATGCGGACGCCACGGCGAAGCCGTCGGAGTTCGTTCGGGAGCAGGTCTGGGGCGGCCCGGGCCCCCGGCTGCGCCGGCACGGTTGCCCCCCCGCCCCCCGGCATCTCCTTCCAAGCCGACTGGACCGGGTTGCCCAGGGAGTGTTTTCGGGTTGACCGAAAAGGGGGTCCAGCGACAAGGGGGGGTGGTGCCATAGGTTTGGTGCAATTGGTTTGTGGGGTTGCAGTGCATTCGGGGCGTGCGGGACCTTCTGGGGCGCACAAGGTGTCGCTGGGTTTTCGCGCGCAAGGCACTGCTTGCAATACAATGCAACACGATTCTCCGATGTGCGATACGATTGCCCAACATCTGCTGCACCACCCCCTTTCAGCTGCACCCCCGTTTGGGTCACCCAAAGGCTTGGGGAGGGGCAACGGTCCCACGTGCCGTCAGGGAGAGGGACACTGTGGAATATCGTGGAGGCGCTCGTGCAGGAAGGTCCCCCAGGAGGCTTCTTACCCTGGAGGATGCCCCATCTAACGAGGGCCGCAGTGACCCCATGGCCAATCCACGATTGGAGTTCACCAGCTCCCAGATCCAACGCTTCCTTATCCAACGCCTTCACAGTACAGTCGAAACCGATAGTAAGGATGAGCGACCCCCTCAGGGCACCCTTGCATCCTTGCCTCTTCGATTATCTTGGGTCTATCCTCAACCACGCTCGATGGCCTGCCCCGCCCGAGAAGCTGAAGCTTCGGCATGGGCGTCCAATGCCTTTGTATGCTCATCGCACATTCCTATCAGTTGTAAGCGCAACCGAAGAAGAAAATCGCCATGAGCATAAACTTTTGGCGCTCCGCGCGGATTTCTTGGATCCGCGCTGGGCCCCCCGGCGACGCCTCCGGCCCTGGCGCGCGGAGCGCGCCAGGGAAGGGGGTCCAGCGCAGATCCAAGAAATCCGCGCGGAGCGCCAAAAGCTTGTGTTCATGCAGTTGTTTTTTTTATATTGTGTTTGTAAGGCTATCGCGCATCGCTTTTGTTAAGTCGGGCGTGTCCCTCCTCCTGTAATCTTCAAACATGGGCAAGACATAGTATGGAGACGATTTGTTGAGTATGGTTGACTAATTTTGAATTTTTTATATACATATACATACATATATATATATATGTATATGTGGTTCGTCGTCCAAAATCCCTCTCGAGAGTAAGCTACGACGTTGCTTAGATTGGCGTCCCCCCGAGAGTTGACCACTCCCCCTCTTGGAGCCGACGTGGCGGTGTCGTGGGCAGCTCCCATCCCCCGAGGGGAGCCGACCACCCCTCTTGGAGCCGACGTGAGGAGCTCGTGGGCGACGGCGACCCACGCGAGATGACGAGACCAGGATATACGTCTTCCACTCGCCGACGGGGTCGGCGGATGTTTCGTCAAGAATCCCCCCTGTAGGAGGACATGCCCGACCTACAGGGCAGTTTTTAATACATTCTCCGCGTGCGGATCCTGTATTAAACATGCAGGGATTTAGCATCACAGACAACGATGAGTTCATGCACGCATTTGTTTACAAATTAATCATGAACTCAAAATCCCATATGTTGAAACATTCCATGTGATTTAAAAAACTGCCCTGTAACCCTGCTGTCAGCTCTGCCTGCAAGCTCGAGGCCTCCCAGGGGGGAGCCCCCGCCCGCCGAGCCCCGCCCGCCGAGGCCCGCCGAGCGCGCGGGGCGCTGGAGGCCGCGGAGGCCGCCGAGCGGCTGGCCGCCGCCCGCGCCGAGGCGCGGCAGCAGCTCGAGCTGGCGCTGCACGGGGAGGACTGCACGGGAGGGGTCCTGAGGCCGTCTCGGGCTCAGAGGCTGCTCGAGGCTCGGGCCAGCAGATCGGTGAGCGCTCGGCGCTCGTGCGTGCGCGCATGCGCGGTGCCCGCGCGTGGGGCGCGCGCGGGCGCTTGCGGGGGCTCCGCGGACAGACCGCATGTGGCCCGCAGCGTCAGGGAGGGATCCCTACGCTGTCTCCTCTCGAGGGGACATGATATGCCCATGCCTCTACCCCCCACCCCCTCGTTCTGCCCCTTGCTGGGCCCCCTGGGCCCCCCTCGCCGCCGCCGCCGGATGCGCCTCGAGATCCTGGTCAGAACGCACCCCAGGAGAGGTCCGGAAGTAGCGGTATCGGGGCACGAGAGACGGGGGTGAGTGCAAACGGGGGTCAGTCAGAGCGACAGATCTTGCGGGATCCTGCAGAGTCAGGGCTGCACTGGCCCGAGCTTGGGTGCAGGATCCTGCAGGATCTTGCTGGATCTTGCAGGATCCTGCAAGGCCTGACTGACCCGGGTTTCATTTACGTTACGTTGCGTTGTATTTTCGGAGGGCCTTGCCTGTCACCAAAATTGGTGTCTTTTCTTGTGCTCGACTCGGGCTCGATGCGGCCTCGACGCGGATTTGGCGTGGCTTCGGCGGGGAGTCGACACGGATTCGATACGGATCCGACGAGTCCGACATGGATGCGACACGGACTCGACACTGATAGGGGCGCGACGGGACAGACAAGGTGGCCCGAAGATGCAGCATCAAGTTTTGCAGAAGGCTAGAGGCTTTCTGGGCCCACTGAGAATGCCTGCCCCCTCCGACTTCCCCCCTGGGCTCGCCGCCGAGTTGGGGTCGGCGGGGGTCTGAGGTGGCCCAGCCCTGGGTTCCGGCCAGCAGGAAGGGGCGGCAGGTTCGAGGCGCTGGATTCGGGAAGGTGTTTCGATTTTTGTTCGGTTCCTGGGGTGCGTTTTCGGGCCCCAGGACTGTCAGCCGAATCCGTGGTGACAAACTGCACCAGATGGACCCAGGGAGAGGTCCAGGGACCGATTTTGAGCGGATTTGGGCCTCGACCCCCTCCCTGACCGATCTTCTCGGGACCAATCCAGTTCAGGCGCCCAGGCCGCCTCCAAGTTCAAAGTTTTCTGACCTTCTTGTGTGCTCCAACAGGTGTTTCGGCCTCGTGATGCCCTCCAGCAGCTGCACCTGTCACAGCCGATTCGACCAGAGAGCTTCGATCCCGAGCCGATGCAGCCCGATCCGACGCTCGCTCAGATTCGCTCCAGCTTTCCGATTGGTTCCTGATTGATCTTGCAGGACGTGCAGAAGGTGGCCTCCGCCCTCGCAGACGCCGACGACGCGGGCCTGTGCGGGCTGGAGGTGTCGCGGGCGGGACTCATACCTTGCGTTGCATTTTCAAGAGACCTCGTGCGCCCCCCAAAAATTGCGAAGGCCTTACGGCCGGTGCCGCCGACCTTGAATGGCGACGACGACGACGACGACGACGACGACGACGACGACGACGACGACGAGCGCTGTTGGGGGCCTCTTGGGGGTAGTTTGTGGGCCTCTTGGGAAGCTCTTAGGGGCCGCTTGGAAGCCTCGTGGGGGCCTCTTGGGGCTTCCTGGGGGTCTCTTGGAGGGGGCCTGGGACGTCTTGGAGGCTTCTTGGACGGTCTTGGGGCTATCTTGGGCGTTTTCGGCCGATCTTTGGGCGACTCGGGGCCCTCTTGGGCCGTCTCGGGGGCCATCTGGGGCATTCGGACCTCATTTAGAGTGTTTTCGATGTTTCTAAGCCTCCCGAGGAAAAACTAATCTGCCCCCCCACCCCCCCCGGGACCCCACCCCGGGACCCCCTCCGACCCCCCCCTCCACCCCCCCCGGGACCCCCACCCCGCCTGGGGAAGGGATCAAGGGGAAGGGGCTTCCCTTCGACTCGATTACGACACTGCTCGATTTTTCTCTCGCCCACGAGCTTGAAAAGGAAGCTGCAGGGAAAGGGGACGACGGAGGCGACGACCGACGGAGACGACGACTCGAACAGCCCAGCCCCTCGCACACGCCGACAGTGTCGGCGGATTGGTGTCTTTTCCTGTACCCGACGCGGGCTTGATGCGGACTCGACTTGGATTTGAGACGGACTCGACGCGGATTCGACACGGACCCGACGAGCCCGACATGGATTCGACACGGCTTCGACGTTGACAGGGGCGCGGCGGGACAGACCAAGGTCCCCCGAATATGCAACAGAAGGGAAGCACATCCGTATTCACGCCCGCGTTGGCCAGGCTCCTCCTTCTCCTCCTCCTCCTCCTCCTCCTCCTCCTCCTCCTCCTCCTCCTCCTCCTCCTCCTCTTCCTCTCCCCTCCTCCCCGCCTCCTCCTCCTCCTCCTCCTCCTCCTCCTCCTCCTCCTCCTCCTCCTCCTCCTCCTCCTCCTCCTCCTCCTCCTCCCCCTCCTGCCCCTCCCCCTCCCCTCCCCCGCCCCCCCCCCGCCCCCGCCCCCGCCCCCGCCCCCGCCCCCGCCCCCGCCCCCGCCCCTCCCCCTCCCCCCCCCCCTCCCCCCCCCTCCCCCTCCCCCTCCCCCTCCCCCTCCCCCCCCCTCCCCTCCCCTCCCCCTCCCCCTCCCCTCCCCCCTCTCCTCCTCCTCCTCCTCCTCCTCCTCCTCCTCCTCCTCCTCCTCCTCCTCCTCCTCCTCCTCCTCCTCCTCCTCCTCCTCCTCCTCCTCCTCCTCCACCCCTGGGCCTCGGCCCCGTGGATCTACGGGGCGTCTCTATCGCGGATGCCCCGCGCGGAACGCGTCCGACTGCGACCGCGCATCCATGGAACCACGCCCGCCCCCGGAGATCCAGGCCGCGAGGGCGTGGATACCCTGAGATCCGACGTCACATGCATTCGGCAGCAAGTCATGGGAGCCCGGAACACGCTCTGAAGTGCGCCGTTAGCGTCGACTCGCGTCGATCAGAGTCTGGGGGTTGATGGGATAGCGTCGAAGAGCGTCGGTTTAGCGTCGGATTAGCGTCGGCGAGCGTCGATTCGCACGAGCCGACAAGAGGATGCGGGAGGCTCCCATGAGCTGCCACCGGACATGCAAACCCGTGAGCAGCAAAACCAGGCCAGAGCTCCGCACCCCACCTGTCTTCTGCATTTCTCGAGCCGCCTCTGCCCGCGAGGGTCCCGGGGCCCCAGAGGGGGCAAGCTCGCCCACACGCAGAGGCCGCGTCCAGGCGGCGCATCGGCAACGCCTGACAAGCGGAGACGGACACGTGGCGCGAGTGAGGGCGTGCACGGACCGAGTGTGGGCGGCGTTCCCGAGCCGCGGTGGCAGCATCGCCCGCTGCGACAGAATTGCGGCGCCGGGATCCCAGGTCCGCGCCCAGCGCGTGTGCACCGTACCGCGCTGGCGCCTCCCGAGACGTCCTCGATCCTCGACCCAGGAATTGTTCGGAGTTCATAGCTCTTCTGACCCCAGGGTGGAACAGAAACTATGCACCGCATCGCGTTGAATTGAAACTGGGCTTCGAGGGAGTCCAGGCATGATACGGTGCCTGGGCGCTGTTTTCTGGTCGGCCACGCGCAGAGGGGGGCAGGGGGAGGGGGGTAGACTTCGTCGAAGCACCCATGCTTCTCAGAAGGCGCGGGCATTGTCTGTAGATGTAAGGCACGCGCCTTCTAAGAGGCAGCCTCAAACATTCCCCCCTCCCTTACGTTGCATCTTCGGGGGACCTCGACTGTCCCCAACTTTGGTGTCTTTCCTTGTGCCCGACGCGGGCTCGATGTGGGCTCGACGCGGATTTCCGTGGCTTCGGCGCGCAGTCGACGCGGATTCGACACGGGTCCGACGAGGCTGACATGGATTCGGTACGCATTCGACGCGGCTACGGCCGCGACGGGACAGATCCATGTTCCCCAAAGATGCGACACAACCTCCCCCTACCCCTGCGCGTCAGCAGCCCAGGGCTATGATGTTCCAACCTGCTCTAGCCTTGATCACCAGAAACGATTTCGATCACCAAGAACGTACCGAAACTCGGGGTTTTCACGTGTCCGGCCCTGGGAGGCGATCCTTGTCCGGCACTCTTTCGATACTGTCCTGGGTGCTCGGCATTCGTTTTGGGATGCGGTCCTTCTAAAGTACGATGGTCGGGGGTGGACAGAACCCCCAACAGTGACACGTCGATTAGTGAATTGTCCGTTTTCGGTTCTCGAGAGGGCGCCGTGGCCGTTATTTTCCAGGCTTGCGCCCGCCAGGTTTGGGCCTCAGGTCGGTTTCACTAAACCACGTTTTACTAAAGGGGGGTCTGTCCATCCCCGAGATGGGAGTAACATGAGCCCAGGGGCGGATCTGCACCCGCGCGCCTGCTCGCGAGGTCGACCGCGCCCGCGCCGCCCTCCGCCGGCTGCGGAGCGCTGCGGGCGCTGCCCAGGAGCTGGCCGACGCCGCGGGCGCCGCGGACCTCTACCGGCTGCGCGCGGCGCTGGCGGCGGCGCGGGGCGCGGGCGTGGGCGCCGCGGACATCCAGGCCTCTGATGCTCGCTCTTTCCGAAGGGGGGAAAACCCTTGCGTCGGGCGTATCCATCTACAGGAGGAAGGTTCAAACATGTTTTTTCTTTTTTTGAACAAAAAAAGAAAAGTAAAGCGGGGAGGATGTTTCCCAACCATCCTGTGGTGTTGGGTCTTGGTTTCGAAGAGACGGTGCCCCGCGTTCCCCTTCTCCTCTCCTCCTCCCTCCTCCCTGCGTTTCACCCACCGAGTAAGAGACAGCGCCCCGCGTCCCTCCCTCCCTCCCTCCCTCCCTCCCGCCTCCTCCTCCCTAGTGGCGCAGCTCGCATGGCGCCGCCGCCCCATTTTGGCACACCCCTCACGCGCTTCGTGGCCCCATAGGGAGCTCCACCCAAGGCCGCAGTGGCGCAGCTCGCATGGCGCCGCCGCCCCATTTTGGCACACCCCTCACACGTTTCGTGGCCGCACAGGGGGCTCCACTTAATTAAGGTCCCAGTGGCGCAGCTCGCATGGCGCCGCCGCTCCATTTTGGCACACCCCTTACACGCTTCGTGGCCCCACAAGGGGGCTCCATCTAAGGTCCCAGTGGCGCAGCTCGCACGGCGCCGCCGCTCCATTTTGGTACACCCCTTACACGCTTCGTGGCCTCATAGGGAGCTCCACCGAAGGTCCCAACGGCGCAGCTCGCATGGCGCCGCCGTCCCATTTTGGCACACCCTCGCACGTTTCGTGGCCCCATAGGGAGCTCCACCCAAGGCCCCAGTGCAGCTCGCATGGCGCCGCCGCCCCATTTTGGCACACCCCTCACACGTTTCGTGGCCGCACAGGGGGCTCCACTTAATTAAGGTCCCAGTGGCGTAGCCCGCATGGCGCCGCCGCTCCATTTTGGCACACCCCTTACACGCTTCGTGGCCCCATAAGGAGCTCCACCGAAGACCCCAGTGGCGCAGCTCGCATGGCGCCGCCGCTCCATTTTGGTACACCCCTCACACGTTTCGTGGCCCCATAGGGAGCTCCACCTAAGGCGCCAGTGGCGCAGCTCGCATGGCGCCGCCGCCCCATTTTGGCACACCCCTCACACGTTTCGTGGCCCCACAAGGGAGCTCCACTGAAGACCCCAGTGGCGCAGCTCGCATGGCGCCGCCGCCCCATTTTGGCACACCCCTCGCACGTCTCGTGGCCCCATAGGGAGCTCCACCTAAGGTCCCAGTGGCGCAGCTCGCATGGCGCCGCCGCTCCATTTTGGCACACCCCTTACACGCTTCGTGGCCCCACAAGGGGCTCCATCTAAGGTCCCAGTGGCGCAGCTCGCACGGCGCCGCCGCTCCATTTTGGTACACCCCTTACACGCTTCGTGGCCTCATAGGGAGCTCCACCGAAGGTCCCAACGGCGCAGCTCGCATGGCGCCGCCGTCCCATTTTGGCACACCCCTCGCACGTTTCGTGGCCCCATAGGGAGCTCCACCCAAGGCCCCAGTGCAGCTCGCATGGCGCCGCCGCCCCATTTTGGCACACCCCTCACACGTTTCGTGGCCGCACAGGGGGCTCCACTTAATTAAGGTCCCAGTGGCGTAGCTCGCATGGCGCCGCCGCTCCATTTTGGCACACCCCTTACACGCTTCGTGGCCCCATAAGGAGCTCCATCGAAGACCCCAGTGGCGCAGCTCGCATGGCGCCGCCGCTCCATTTTGGTACACCCCTCACACGTTTCGTGGCCCCATAGGGAGCTCCACCTAAGGCGCCAGTGGCGCAGCTCGCATGGCGCCGCCGCCCCATTTTGGCACACCCCTCACACGTTTCGTGGCCCCACAAGGGGGCTCCACTGAAGACCCCAGTGGCGCAGCTCGCATGGTGCCGCCGCCTCATTTTGGCACACCCCTCGCACGTCTCGTGGCCCCATAGGGAGCTCCACCCAAGGCCGCAGTGGCGCAGCTCGCATGGCGCCGCCACCCCATTTTGGCACACCCCTCATACGTTTCGTGGCCCCATAGGGAGCTCCACCTAAGGTCCCCGCGGCGCAGCTCGCATGGCGCCGCCGCCCGCCGCCCCATTTTGGCACACCCCTCACACGTTTTTGCGACCCCAGAGGGAGCTCCTCCCAACGTCCTTGTGGCGCAGTTTGCATCGAGCTCTTCCTGGCATGGCCGCCGGAGGGCTTGCAGAAGCAGCTGGGGCAGCTTGCCACGCGTTGAAACGGTGCAGGATGGAGGCGGCGGCCCTCACCAGGGAGCTGAGCTTCATCGAGTTTATCCGCGAGGCTTGACTTGAGGAGCGGCCCGCCCGAGCCTCGCTGTCTCTCGACGGTGTGACTGTTTGGCCTCGCGCCGCGGGCGGCCCGCGCGCGTCGCTGGGACCCTCTCGGGGCGACCGGCGCGCGTCGCGGGAATTCCGCGCTGCGCTCTGCCCAGAGCCTCGCTCGCCCCCGTCGTCGCTCTGGCCAGCGGCCACAGCCTTGCCCGCTATCAGCCAGCCAGCTAGCTCTCTCGGCTCCGCGCAGCGGACGACCCGCGCGGGCGCGATCCTCGCGAGGAGCGTGCCGACACGGGCGTCGCGGCGCGCGGGCGCTGCGTTCGGGGCCCCAGGGGAAGCTTCTAGCGGCGGCCACGCTCAATGTCACGAGTACTCAGGGTCAGGCATACGTGAACAATTCACATTCGTATGTATTTATATATCTTTATATATACATATATTACTATACATATGTATATGTATATATACACACCAGGCGAGGCCATGCTCGCGTTCATGCAACATGTACTCACTCGCACGCAGACTCATTCGCGCACAGACTCACTCGCGTTCATATTCGCCCTATCGTCTTCGTTCGTGTTGTGTACCCCTTCGCGCAATTCGGCGCACCCCTCATGCGGTTCGTGGCCCCATAGGGAGCGCCACCGAAGAGGATATCCACAACTGCGGTATTCACAACTGCATACGGTTGTGTCCTCCGCTGGGCTAAGTTGGAGTATGTTTGATCATTCTCTTTCTTGGGAAAATGGGTTTAACACTTTTCAGCTGTCTTACAAAACCCGCCTGTAGGAGGACACGCCCGGCCTAAAAAAGCACGCAGGCACAACATCGTCGGCCCCCTGGAAAAAATGGGGACATCCTGGAAGTGCGGGGGTGGGAAGCCTAGCACCCCGGGGGAGTATGGGAAAACAGGGGGGGGATCCTGGGATTTGTGTGCGTGTGTTTCGTTGTGTGTCCCTGGGCCCGTGTAGATCTGGGGCCCTTCCAGGGGCCCACCTTCCAGATGTCCGACGCCCCGACCATGGGATGCCAGGACATATGCTGGCCGCGACCGACGAGATCGATGCTATATAGAAGCGATTGCGACCGATCGGTCGCAACCGATCAATCACGATCGGTCTCGACCAGTCGCGGGCGATCTTGGGATCGGATTCGATTGGTGGCGACCGCTACCGATCGCGACCGCGGTATCCGTTGATCTGCGCTCACCTCCTAGATCACCGACGACATGGGTTGTCAATCCCAGCGGTTTCCCTTGATTTCGTTCCCTGGGGCTAGCTATCTGGCCACAAGACCGTTAAAAACGGATCCAGGGCAAAACACGTCTTCCGGGAAAGGGAGCAGGACTTTGGGGCCGCGCGTTGAAAGCATCATCCAGCCAGATGTCTGGCCCAATGGATCTGCTCGACTCCACTTCGACTCCATAGTCAAGGTGCATAGTAAGTATGAGCAATTTTCCAAGGCTTCCTTTGCATCCTGGCCCCTTCGGCCCGTTCTTGGCGATTTTCGCTGGCCAACCCCGTTCGAAAACGCCAGCATGACCCTCCAAGGCCCTTGCATCCTTACCGCGCATCCTTATAATGCGACTTGACTGTAGTTCTACTCCAGTTCGATTCAGGTCCGATTCAGGTCCGGCTCGAGTTTGACTCCCAGTCGGCGGACCTCGGTCTTAGACCACCCGTCAGGTTCGAACCGAGCCCAGAGATTTTCTTAAGCAATGCGGGACCCCCAGAAGTCTCGACCCACTCCCAGGGACTAGCTGGTCATTCTGAGTCTTTTTTGACTGTCCCGGGCCGGGGCCCGGCGAGGGCCTCAAGAGGTCGAAAATAGCGAAACAAGAGCCGTCTTGATTTTATCGATACGTTGGAGCCCTGGGGGTTCGAGTCACGAGCGTAGCGCGTGGTTCCAGGACGGTCCCATGAGCGAGCATCCGACCCAGGCCGCGCGGCGATCGCTCGCCACGCTGGAGGCGCGGGCGCGGGCGCGGCGCGAGATCGAGGCGTCGGGGGCAACGGCAGCAGCCTCCTCCTCCTCCTCCTCCTCCTCCTCCTCCTCCTCCTCCACCTCCACCTCCACCTCCACCCCCACCGCCTCCTCCGCCTCCTCCGCCTCCTCCGCCTCCTCCGCCTCCTCCGCCTCCTCCTCTTCCTCCGCCTCCTCCTCCTCCTCCTCCTCCTCCTCCAGGTCTGGCCCAGGGCCGGGGGGGGGGCGGGAAGCGCCGGCCCCGAAACTCCGCCGGGCCAGGCGGTCACGGCGCGGAGAGAAGGACCGTTTTGCAGGCTCGGGAGGGGCTCTGGCTCTCGGGCCGGTCTTGCTCTGTTTGCGCTCTCCCAGAACTTGCTTGTGACCTAGGTTTGTGGAAGCCGATTAGTGTAGAGGAAGCATGCTGCCAAATACTTTCCAGATGTCTAAAAGATGTTTCACATATGTTTTAAATGTGTTGAACACATGTTTAGAACATGTCTTACACACTTGAAACACATCTTTGATTCAATGATCGGATTGTTAGAGTGTCCACTGTCATGGCATCCACAAGCCTAGGCGTAAGTCGGGTACGACCCTCTACAGGAGGAATATAAAAAATGGTCTAAACATACTAAGGGGACGAGTTGTTCGACTATTTCTGGCTATCTTCGAGCATTCTCTGACTATTTTTTCAGTTCTTCCTTCAAGATCCGCCTGTAGGGGGACATTATGCCCGGCCTGAGCCTAGGCCCGCCGTGACCAGAAAAGCCCCTCCGTGCCGTCTGGTAGCGCGACGACTGCAGTAGAGGCTGCTGTCGGCCACTCCGGTCTGCACTATCGGCCCAGGCTCGCCTTCAAGCCGCTACGGAGTGGCTTCGCGCACGGCCGGCCACGCGTCCCCAGCTTCATGAGTTCGACGCGTAATTGGCGAGTGTGTGCGCCCGCTGCTTGGCTTTCCATGTTGTTTCCCTTATTTTTCTGTCTCGTCCTCCTCCCTCCTCTCCCCTCCTCCCTCTCCTACTGCCGCTTTCCAGCGTGGTCAGGATTGGGGGATATTCCACCACTCGCTGGTTCCAACATCGTTGGCAATGTTACGCTGCCCCTTGATGGGCTACCGCTGTGTCTCGACCTTTCAGTGCGCCTGCAAGCCGATTTGGACGGCTACGCTGCTTTGTCCTTGCCTTCCTCCCGCTGTGTTCCTGCCCTTCCTCCCTATATGGTGGCCCTTGTTCTCTTTTAGTGAGGCTCCAAGAGCATGGCCAGACGCTGGAGATGTCTCGGTTTTGGTATGGGTGCTTCCTTGGGCTGCCCTCGTACACGTCTCGACGGCACTCGAAGTAATCCGTTTGTCCGCTTCATCCCCTCAGCCTTTCTTCCCCTCGTCGTTCCTCGTCCTTCCCCTCGTCGTTCCTCGTCCTTCCCCTCGTCATTCCTCGTCCTTCCTCCTCCTCCTCGTCCTTCTCCTCCTCGTCCTTCCCCGCCGAGCGTCGGCGCGGCCCCTCCTGCTCCGAGCGGGGTCGGGATCCGACTCTTCTTCGGAGGCGCGCCCTCCCCTCCTCCTCCTCCTCCTCCTCCTCCTCCTCCTCCTCCTCCCTCCTCCTCCTCCTCCTCCTCCTCCTCCCTCCTCCTCCTCCTCCCCCCTCCTCCTCCTCCTCCTCCTCCCTCCTCCTCCTCCCTCCTCCTCCTCCTCCTCCTCCTCCTCCTCCCTCCTCCTCCTCCTCCTGCCTCTCCTCCCTCCCTCCTCCTTCTCCCCTCCTCCTCCTCCTCCTCCTCCTCCTCCTCCTCCTCCTCCTCCCCCTCCTCCTCCTCCTCCTCCTCCTCCTCCTCCTCCTCCTCATCCTCCTCCTCCTCCTCCTCCTCTCCTCCTCCTCCTCCTCCTCCTCCTCCTCCTCCTCCTCCCCCAAAGGAAAGTTGCCCCAAAAGGCGGCCATCCATCACCACTCGTCGTTTGTCCCCAGAGGTCCGGCGTTTTGAGAAGGTCAAGACGGTGTTTGTCGCCGTTGTCGGCCTCTAGAGAGAGAGAGAGAGAGGCCATCGCCGGGCCCCGGGACCGTCAGAAACGATGCTCGGAAATCAATGCCGGTCCCTGGGCTTGGGTCGAGATTCCCGTAGACCCAGTTCGACCAGACGTACACGTTGTTCATTTCTAATTATTCGAGAGGTCTTTGTTTTTTGGGGGGGCCAGGATCATTTCATCCTGGCCACTAGGGGGCCAGGAACAATTAGAAACGAGCACAATTAGAAATGAGCACGATTAGAAATGAACGACATGTAATGCCGGTCTTTGGGCTTTGGTCGAGATTCCCGTGGACCCAGTTCGACCTGACGTAAGAGTGACCTTTCGCCAGATCGGAGGAAGGATACGCGACACCAACACCACCAGGGGGCCCACCTCCAGCGAGGAGGTCCACGATGCCTCCCCGAGCTGGAGGCTGGGTATGTCTCGAGCGAGAGGGGGGGACCACACCACCAGGGAGACCCCCCTTGGCCACCTCGCATCTCCTCGCTCTGGTGGTGTTGGTGTCCCCGTTCCTTCTTCCTACCAGGGTGACCTTCGGTGCGGGCACACTGGGGCCCCAAAGTGCACGGATCGGCCACAGCGCTATGTTTGCTTGCTTTGGGCCCTTGTTTTGTTTTTCGTTCCGTTTTTCGTTGTTGCTTCGTTTCCTTGTTCGTCGTTGTTGTACACGCCCGCCCCGTTTCGTTGTTCGGCTTCGTTTGGCACCGGCTTCGTTATAGACGCTCGTTATCGACGTTGGGCCTCGTTTCGTTGTCCGTTGTAAACGCCATTTCGTTTTAAGCATCGTTGTGATCGGTCCTTGCCGTGAGTCCACGCGAGGCGGTTGCAGCGTCTTGCGCGCTCGGGAAGCCGCGCACCAAGGGCCACTCTTGCCCAGGGTCGCTCTTTGCGTGTAGGGAACCTGGAACAAATCAAGGCAGCGAATCTCTGGGAACTTCGCCCCTCCTCCTCCCTCCTCCTCCCTCCTCCTCCCTCCTCCTCCATCCTCCTCCCTCCTCCTCCTCCTCCTCCTCCTCCTCCTCCTCCTCCTCCTCCTCCTCCTCCTCATCGCCGCTCGTCGTTCCGTTGGGTGTCATTTCGCCCCGGCGTCACGCTTACCAGACTTGAGCATCGCGTAAGGGGGGGGGGCGATAGGCTGGGGGGTCTGCGAGGGCTGCCCAGCTTCGGGCCCACAAGGGGCCCCTGTGGGCCCGAAAAGTACACGCCTTCCCTCTCCCCCATTTATCCTCCCCCCCGTAAGCGACGACCAACGGACCCGGTGCCCTCACCCAGCAGGGCTGGACCTAAACGCTGTTTTTGCTGGACTTCGGCTGTGTTTTGTTTTTCGTTTCGGGAGGGAGGTACAGGAAAGCAGCTAGAGCAAAACGAAAAACAAAACGAACACAAAACGAAAAACAACGTTCAGGTTCAGCCCTGTCACCCAGAGGCCGCGCAGAGCCTGATTACATAGGCGCCTCCCGCCAGGAGGCGCCAGGAAAACTAGCTACATGAGCTGCTTATCTACCCTGCCCGTTGCTATCCTATCCTTCTGTCGCTCCCGACGATCATTCCCTCTCGACCCAGACGTCCTCCGTCTTCTCGCAACGTGGCTCCCCAAGGAGGTGCGGACCCCTTCCTCAGGACCGGCTTCGAGTCGTTCTGTGACGGCACAGGGCCTGGCGAGGCCCCCCAGAGGCCGAAAACGGCCAACAAACCTTCCGTTGTGTTTTCGTTCGCGTCGCGAGCAAGTCTGCTGAGATGACCGCGGCGGCTGCCGAGGGAATATGGGGGTTAAATTTGGATGTCAAAGTGGGCTACATTTGGCCCAGCATTGTTTATAAGATACCTGTGCATCCACTTCCAAGCCTGGGCCACGCCCAGAGGGCTGTTGGGGAGAGGGCAATGGCTTCTTGGAAGCACCCCTGCTTCTCAGCAGGCGCTGGCCTCCTCCACAGACGTAAGGCCAGGGCCTTCCGAGAAGCAGGGTGCTTCTAAGAAGCCTTCCCCCTCCCCCGATAACCCCCTCTATGCACGCCGCACCAGAAGCCCCCCAATGTCCCCGCAGCAACCACCCCCGCGGTCACCGCAGCGGGAAGGTGGCCTCGCTCGGCCGCGACACCGAGCTGCTCTCGCGGGCCCTGGAGGCCGCCGAGGCCGCCGGCGTCGGCCGCGAGGAGCTCGCGCGGGCCTCCGCGCTGCTGCGCGACCTTGCGGAGTCGGGCAGCGGCCGCGAGCTGCGCGCGGCCCTGGCGTCGGAGGACCTCGACCGCCTGCGGGCCGCCGCCGGCGCCGCCACCGACGCCGGCACGCCGGGGCTCGTGACGCCGATCCGATCGGCCCGATTTGGGGGAACGAAGAATGACAGAATGACATAAACATAAAAAACTCGGAGGTCCGCGCGGATTTCTCGGATCCGCGCTGCAGCCCCTTGGATGCGCCTCCAGCGCCGCTCCTCTGGCGCGCGGAGCGCGCCAGGGAGGGGGGTCCAGCGCGGATCCGAGAAATCCGCGCGGACCTCCGAGTTGTTGTGTTTATGGCATTCTTCGTTCCCCTACGATTCGATGTCGGCGCTGGCGGGCTCGATTCTCCAGAAGAGGAGACCTATGGATCCCTCCTCCTCCTCCTCCTCCTCCTCCTCCTCCCTCCTCCTCCTCCTCCTCCTCCTCCTCCTCCCTCCTCCTCCCTCCTCCTCCTCCTCCTCCTCCTCCTCCTCCTCCTCCTCCTCCTCCTCCTCCTCCTCCTCCTCCTCCTCCTCCTCCTCCTCCTCCTCCCCTCCTCCATCCCCATCCCCATCCCCATGCACACCCCCACCATCTCACCCCCCCAAGCTCATTTGGACAGTTTTTGGGGGCTCTGGAATTAACTATCCGACTGCCCCACCCGTCGCTGGCCGACTGATCCGACGGGCCGACTCCCCGACTGGCCGACTGGCCGACTGCGGAGTCGGAAAACTTTTCCGGTGCCTCAAAACTTCGTCCTTTCCAGTTCATTTTGGGGATATGCCAGTCGAAACCCGCAGGAAATAGCATCTACCCCCTTCCAGGGGAGTAAATTGGCCAGTGGGGCCCAGGCCGCGCCGTTGGGGACGGGGGTCGCATCTACGATGCTCAAAGATGGCAAGGTTTGTTGGTTCAGGGTTTCCGGAACCCGCCACGTGGAGCAAGAGAGATCTGCGTACACAGAAGTTCTGCCACGATGCATGCCTGGACTTACTCGTGTCGTGGAGAATCACGTGGCTCGAGGTTTTCAGCTGTTTTCGGCCTTTGGGGGCCCTTTCCGGGCCCTGGGACCGTCAACAGACAAGCCCGGCACGTGGAAGAATGACAAAACTCGGGGCTGGCCACGGTCGCCGAGCGCGTTCCACTGCTTGCAAAGTGCCCACTCGCAAACGTCCTGAAAACACATGTCCGCTCTGATGTAATCTATCGTAGATCCCCCTTCGGGTCTCCAGGCCATTTGCGAGTAGATACTTGTAGGGGGCCACATGCGAACCCTACCCCTACCCCCACGATTTCTGAGGGGGAGGGTGGGGCTCACTTCGCTCGGGGGCTCCTGAATAAAGTGAACCCCACCCTCCCCCTCAGAAATCGTGGGGGGTAGGGGTAGGGTTGGCATGTGGCTCCCTAACTCTGCGAGCAGTGGAACGCGCTCGTCTACAAGGGGGGCTGAGACGGCCCAGCCCCAGCTCCGGCCAGCAGACGAGGGGGAGCACGGGGCCCCCTCGTCCCCACGGCTGGGCTCGGCACAGCTTCGAGCGGACCTCAGCTGCCCCTCCCTCTTGACTTAAGTCGGGCCTGTCCCCCTACAGGGGGATTTTCGACGAAAAATAGAAACTACTTTCAAAAATGATGAACAAATAATCCAAGAATAGTCTGGGGACTATGTTTTGTGTATTTGTTGACCATTTTGGTGCATGTTTGTTGTATTTGTTATTCTTCGTCAAAAATCCCCCTGTAGGGGGACACGCCCGACATAACTCTTGACTGATTCTCTCGCGGCCCATCCAGCGCAGACCCCCTTGGCCGCTTCTAGAAAAGGGGTAAGACATGTTTGAACGAGCGTAAGCTGTGAAGCAGCCAGGTCCTGAGGGAGGCTCTGCGACCAATCGTGAAGGCTACCCCTGCGGGTCCGCACTCGACGCGGGGGCATCGGACACCCCAGCTATGGGGCCCGTGTGGGTGCAGCCCTCTCTCGGACTGGCGATCCAGTCGTGACCTGCAGGGATCGGGTCCACACGCGGTTGCCCAGGAACGGGTCCTTGTTTTTTTTGTTCCCTGCCGTGCTTGGCTTCCTGGGGCCCTCACTCCAGCCCCAGGACCTCTTGTCAGAGCACGGATCATGGCACGAAAGGCTTTTGGCTGGGAGAGAGGCCCCAGCGTCGAGTTCCCGTTTCCCTCGGAACCCGCTCGGTCCTCACCGAACGCGTTCTGTTACTCGCAAAGTGTTCTTCCGAAAAGCACAGGTGTGGCCCAAATGTCGTGGATCGTGGATCCCCCGCGGCGGAGCCAGGCCATGTGCGAGTAGCTACCTTGCGAGTGCAGTGGCGACCCATGCCAAGAAACACCCCGCTTGCCTCCAGAGGGTGCCCTGGGTTTCTTGGGTTTTGATGGTTTCCCTGTGGGAAGCGTGGCGTGCCGACGAAACGCGAGCCAGAGAGCCAGGGAGGAGGAGGGAGGAGGAGGAGGAGGAGGAGGAGGAGAGGAGGAGGAGGAGGAGAGGGAGGAGGAGGAGGGAGGAGGAGGAGGAGGAGGAGGAGGAGGAGGAGGAGGAGGAGGAGGAGGAGGAGGAGGAGGAGAGAGGAGGAGGAGGAGGAGGAGGGAGGAGGAGGAGGGAGGAGGAGGGAGGAGGGAGGAGAGGAGGAGGAGGAGGAGGAGGAGAGGAGGAGGAGGAGGAGGAGGAGGAGGGAGGAGGAGGAGGAGGAGGAAGGAGGAGGAGGGAGGAGGAGGAGGAGGAGGAGGAGGAGGAGGAGGGATGGAGGACCGCGGGGGCCTCAGACATCACCAGCCCGAAAGAGATCCCGATCCTCCGAGGAGGAGAAGGTAGCAATACCGCCACCATGCTTCAATTGTTCCATGTGCCGGCCTCCTGCAGGAGGCCCTCGTCGCCACCGCTGGATTCGCCTCGAGATCCTTTTCAGAACGCGCCCCTGGAGAGGTCCGGGGAGCAGCGTCTTCGGTACCTCTTTTGGTTTCTTCATACCTTCGACGGCGAGCCCAGGGTGGAATTGAGAGAGGGCAGGCCTTCTCAGAAGGCTCGGCAGTCACCTGGCCTCCCGAGAAGTTTTTCCAGGCCTTCCCCGAAGACGCCGACCGCCTCTCAGAAGGCGCGACGGCTTCTGAGAAGCCCCGGCGCCTTCCGAGAGGGCCTCCTCCATGTCGCCTCCCCCCCTCGCGAGCGCCGCCGATACCCCTGTGGTTGGCATCCGATATCCTGCGGATCCCCTCGGTTTCCGAGTCCGAGGGCGCATCCATCTTCGATCTCCATCGCCTCCGGGGCTCGGGCAGTCCCAGGGAGGGGGGCCCGAGCCCCGAGCCCCGTGGAGGCAGGTCGTGCCACAGTTCTCCCGGCCGTGCGCCTCCCCAGGCATGGCCGGCCCGGAGGTCGACGCGGCCTGGCAGCGGGTGCGCACGATGGAGCCCCGAGGAAGAAGAGAGGCCGCCGGCGCTATAGGGTTCCGTCGGGCGTGTCCCTCCAAAGGAGGAAGATCCAAAGACAGTCGGACATAGGCAGGGGACGTTTTTTTTTGTACACTCCAGGCGATGCTTAAGAAAACCCAAGTTTTCGGCCAGAGGCTCGATTATTCTTAATGTTTCAATGTGAATCCCAAGATTTTGATAGAAGTTCTGGGTTTTTATTCAAATTCTGAGACTCTGAGTTTCTTAACCCATGATTTCTTAAGCATTTCGCAGGGTGTAATTCCCCAATCAGCGCTTGCACAGAAGAAGGGGTCCTATAGCGGATGCCGAAAGATTGCGCAGAAGCTTCCGGCCGATTTTGGTAGCCGTCTGGTTTCCCAGGTTCCCAGTTCCGCGGGTTCCTGATGATTGGTTCCGGCCCGTTTTCGGTGGTTCCGGGTTCCCGGGTTCCCGGGTTCCGGGTCGATTTCTTGATCCATCTTTTTATCGATCCCACGATTCATTATCGATCTCACGATTCATCTCATTCAATCGAGATCGCCATCGATCTCATCAAACCATCCATTGATTGGGTTGTTGTTCTTTGGTGTAAGATTTTACAATGTTAGTGGATTTGCTGAGTTTTGTGTCCCCCCCCATTTTTCTTCCAACATTCGCCTGTAGGAGGACGTGCCTGAGCTAACGCTACGGTCGAGTTTGATCAGGAGGTCGACCTTGTCAAATCAAGGATGTCCTTCGTGTGATGTGCTTCGTGACACAAGCCTTCTGCATTCCTGTGGCAAGGTGGCCGCTGGGAGGGCCCGATGTCCTCTCGCGTGTCCTCTCCGATCAGACTCGACCATGCTGCTGCCGCTGGGTACCGGCCCGTCGTCGCCACGGCCGGATGCGCCTCGACGCCCTGGCCAGAACGCCCCGGTTGTCCTGGCCGACGTGCTCGCGTCGTGGAAACAGCGCGGTGGACGGCTGCGTGCCACGCTCCCGCCGTTCTGGGGGGGGGGCCTCCCGGGAGGCCCGCGTCGTCACGGCTGGGTTCGCTCCAAAGTCCCGGCCAGAACGAACCCCTATGGCCATATATGATCCCGGGTGCCGGGTTGAAAAGCCCCGCCCCCTCCTCCTCCCAGATGGGGGGGAGGGGGGAGGAAGACGACGACGACGACGACGACGACGACGAAGACGACGACCACGACGACGACGACGAAGACGACGACGACGACGATGACGGCAAAGAGCCGACCACGAATGATTCCTCTGAGCGTGGAGACTCGCGCGAGCACACGAAGACTGACCACAGCACCAACCCACACCCACACCAACCCACACCACACCCACATGGGGTGGGGAAACCATCGTGGGGGGCCATCCATCGGGGGGGGGGGCGGGGGGCGATGGCATACCCATTGGGGGGGGGGGGGGGCAGACCCTGGGCCATAGATGGGGCCATCCAGACCCGGAGCTCGCTCGCCTTCGCGGGGTCGAAGCAGTGGGCATCCCCTCCTCGGCGGACGGCAGCGGCAGGGCGGGGGCAGCGGCTCCGCCGGCGGATGCCCGCGGAAGGCTGGCGGAGACCGGCGGAATTCAAAGATGCGCCCCACGGGGTCAAGCAGCGCCGACGCGTCGTGATTCGCCCGTGGGCCCACCAGTAAGCATGTTCTCACAACAGCCGATGGTTCGCACGACATGGTCTCGGAACGTTTCTGGCTGCGGCGGCCCTGCTCTTGTTTCATGCACGGGTGGACGTTGCCCTGTTCTGGGAGCACGTCGTGTTAGGCCCGTCAGAATGCCAGGACGGTCGGCCCCTGCTCAGCAGGGGTGGCCACACTTTTGGGCCAAGGGTTAAGTACAGGAGGAATATGCAAAAATAGTTCAAACAATTGTCAGGGGACTATTTTTTCAATCATTTCTGAGCACTCTGGGGGATTTGCTTTGAGCAAATCTACGCTTTCGCCACATATCCCCGTGCAGGGGGACAGGCCCGACTCAGGCCAAGGGCTTCTGGGACCCGCCAGGAGTCCCAGCAGTGGTGGCGCCGGCAGCTCCAGGCCGCCACGGGCGGCGGCGACGCGGCGCGCCTGCAGGCGGCCATCCAGCAGGCCGTGGCCGCCGGCATGGGCAGCAGCGCCGAGGTCACGGCCGCGCGCGCGCAGCTCAGCGAGTGGACCTCGCGGGCAGCGGGGGGGGACGGACAGACCAACCCAGACATGATCGCGTCGTGACAAAAATCGGGACGGCAAGTTGTTCGCTATTTTCGGCCCCCTAGGGGCCCTCGCCTTGCCCCAGGACCGTCAAACAACGACTCAGGAAGAAAAACTGGCCCCGGGGAAAGGGTCTGGACTTCCGGGGACGCCGTCCTGAAAAAATCAAGACGTCGCATATCTGGGAAAGCAGGTGCGCTCCCATGATGCTTGATTCACCGAGCGCGCTCCACTACTCGCAGAGTGCCTGCTCGCAAGCGTCAAAAAAACAACATGTAGATCCCCCCCGCGGCGGATCCAGGCCATTTGCAAGCAGTTCCTTTGCGAGTCGTGGAACGCGCTTGTCTATTTCTATCCTGCCCTTCCCACTCATCCCTTCCCACGGCGCTGCTGGTTCTACCCGCCGCGGCGCTTGTCACGTAGCGGGCGGCCTGGAATTGCGAAGAATGCCCCCATCGTGTCTCCATGCGCAGTCGGAAAGACCCAGATATGCGACGTCCTGATTTTTTCAGGACGGCGTCCCCCGAAGTCCAGACCCTTTCCCCGGGGCCAGTTTTTCATCCCGAGCCGTTTTTTGCTGGTCCTGGGGCCCGGCGAGGGCCCCCAGGGGCCGAAGCTAGCGAACAACTTGCCTTCCCGATTTTTGTTACGACGCGAGCATGCCTGGGTCCCCCTCCTCCTCCTCTTCTTCCTCCTCCTCCTCCTCCTCCTCCTCCCGGGGATCATGCCCGGGGAGGGGAGCTGCGCGCCTGGGGGGGGGGGGCAGGCGTCGAGCCCCACTCGCCCACTCGTCGCACATACATCGTGGCCGGGGCGCCCCCAGACGGGGCCAGGCCACGCCAGGGGCCATCTTCGCTGCCGCGGGTCCCGCGGCGATCTCTCGGCGACTCCGGGTCGTCGTCTGCGCACGGGGCTGCGAGTAGTTCGGGCAGTGTCCCCTTACAGGGGGAAAATATGCAAAAATGGTCACAACTACTCTGGGCACGATGTTTGGACTCTTGTTGACAATTGTTTTGAATATGTTGTTGCTATGTTTATTGTTTTTTGTTCCAGATGCGCCTGTAGGGGGACATGCCCGACCTATGGCTACGATGAGGAGAAGTCCCTTCCAGGGCGTTTCGGGACGCTCTCAGAGCGTTCCCTGAACGCTCTGAAAAGGCCGCGGCGCCCGAGACGTCCTCCATGAAGCCGCCGAACCTCCGAGATTCTCGATGCGTCCTCCCCCGATGTTGTCCTCGTCCTGGCTTCGTCTTCACCCCAGGACCACGCAGCAGCAGGCGCGGATGGAGCTCCGCCTGGCGTGCGCGGGCGGCAACTCCGAGGCCCTCCGCAGGGCGGCGGCTGCGGCGGAGCGGTCCGGGCTTCGGCCAGAGCACGAGCTCGCCGCCGCCAGGCGCTCGCTGGGCGAGCGCTCGCCGCAGCCGGCGGCGGCCGCTCCGCGGGTCCGCGCGGCCGTAGACGGCGCGCCCTCTTCGCCGGCGGGCCGGCGGCTCCAGCTGCCCCTGAGGTCGGTGGCTCAAGACGGGTCGACCGCAGACGTCAGGGTGACCTTTCGCCGGAGTGGCCTTCGGTGCGGGCCCATTGGCGTCCCCCGAACGCTGAGCGCGAAGCGGTAGCAGCTGCGTCCGCCCAGGTTTGGCCACCCCGCGTCCCCCGTCAAGCCGCGCACCAAGGGCGACTCTTGCGAAGGGTCACGCTGGCGCACAGCGGAGTGGGGTCCTGAGGGACGGGGTCCTGAGGACGCGGTGCCTCAGACAACGTAAATCCTCCCTTGGACCCCTACCTATCGGATAGCAGCCTTTCCATCACAGTGCAAGCGTGGACCCTTGTGTCGCGTGTCGGGGGCCCTCGGGAACAGGCGCCGTGAGTGCGAGGCGGCGGGGGAGTCAGATTCGGCCCTGCTGATTCTGAACTTGTCGGGGACTTTATCCGAACCTCCCCGGGAAATCTGAGGCGACCTTTTCTGGACGTTGGGATCGAGCCATCAGTTAAAACCCGTTGCCACAAGATCCGCCTCTGCTATCCTTAGGACCCCATCCCGCAGGGCCCCCTCCGTGAGAACCGCCAGAGGCCGCCGTCGATGTCCGACGAGTTCGAGGCGCCGCCCACCGATCCGAAGCTGCCCGGCTCGGCGGCGCCGCGGGGCTCGCCGTGCTTCGGGAGCGGCAGCCCCGCCGCGGCCTCGCCGCTGGCGGCGCTGCCGTCGCCCTCCCGCGCCGCCGCGAAGCGCTCGGTGCACTTTTCGACCTAGGGCACGCGGGGAAGGATCCGGAGCAGGGAAGAGGACCCGTATATACCGCTGCTTTCGTCCCGTCGTCGCCTTTTCTGGGCTTCCTCGGACGCCCTCGTCGCCACCGTTGGATTCGCACCGAAATTCTGGTCCCACTGTACTCCGAGAGAGGTCCAGGGAGAATCGGTACTTGTTGGTCTCCCCAAGGATCTGAGATTCGAGGTAGGAACGGCGGCACAAATCAGGGGCACCGATAGGGGGATGGGGGATTGGCTCAGGGGGGAATGCATCATCGACCCCCAATCACCCATTGATCGCCGACAGGGGTCTGATGGCCCCAACCCGCCCAGGAATTTGCGGACTCGCCATCGAGGGTCTATCGCCGATCAATCGGCGATGTATCGCTGATTCCAGGTCGATGTCCCCCCTCAGCCAGTCCCCCTATCTCTGCCCCTTAACAAACATAAGCTTCGGCGCTCCTCGCAGATTTCTTGGATCGGCGCTGAACCCCCCCTGGCGGAGCCTCGGGCGCCGCCCCCGGTGCGCTGGAGGGGGGTCAGCGCCGATCCAGGAAATCCGCGCAGACCTCCGACAGCTTAGGTTAGTGCAGTTCTTTCTTCCTCTATCTGCGGCGGTGGGTAGCATGGGGCTGTGCAGGTCGAGGCCTCCCAAGCGGGGTCCGAGCAGGTGGGATTGGGATGACCGCGCCGCATCACAGATGCATCGGCGATGCGGCTCGATGTGAAGCCCGATCCACGCCGATGCGTCGCTGACGTCGCTGATGCATCGGCGATGCACTGGCGATGCGGTGCAATTCTCCGACCCCATCTTCTGTGAACCCGTATTTGAAGCCTCCAGGAGGCGAGTCTAGTTCTTAGCACTTTGCAGGTTTTGTTTCATAGTTTAGGAGGGCTTGTCTGTCCTGTGCATAGTGTTCTCCTGCACGTGGCATACGGCGTCGGTTCGACATGGATCTGACGCGGACTCGACGGGAATAGCGGCACTGAGGCACCTACATGAGGCGTTCCAAAAACGGCTTCGTTGTCGAGGATCGAAGGACATGTCATCTCTCCCTCGGCGGAAGGCAGCAGAAGGGCGGCGAAAGGGCGGCGGACTTAAAACGAGCCTGCTTCCACTGGCGGAAGGCGGCGGGACTCTGGCGGAAGGTGGCGGAAGTAAAACATGCGCCCCAAGAGCTGAACACGTTTTTGGGTTCAGGGTTTCTGGTATCGGCCACGTGGTCTCCCAAGCATGTGGCAGGACGTATCAGGAGTGAGAGGCATTCTCCCCTACCCCCTTCGAACAAATTGCCAACTTCCTGGACTGCGGGCAAATGTTTGCTGTCGCTTCTTCGTTTCTGGGATGTTGACTTAGCGCATGTATGGGAATGGCGGGCGAGAAGAAGAGGGCCGCCTACACCTGCAATCGGCTGAGTGGTCTCCCCTGTCCGGTCATTTTGTGGATTTGTGGTATCCGCCGCTGCCAGGAATCAGCAGTGGCCTTCTTGGCAGGTGTCTCTCAGGAGTCCATGGGCCCGGGAAGCCGCCGGAAGCAAAGGGTCGTCAGCCTTGAACGAGGGGATGATTCGGCGGCGTGCAGAAGAAGGGGGGGCTGGTGAGGGGGGCTCGACCTAAACGTTACGCTGTATCTTCGGTGGACCTCGCCTGTCCCAAAAATCAATGTCTTCTCTTGTGCCCGACGCGGGCTCGATGCGGACTCGACGCGGATCTGGCGTGGATTCGATCCGACACGGATTCGACTCGGGTCCGACGAGTCCGACTTGGATTCGGCACGGGTTCGCTGCGGATGGGACCTCGACGAGACAGACTAAGGTCCCCCAGGATGCCACACAATAAACGGTGTGTTTATCGATCTCGTGGACCGTGTTCGTTTTGAGTTCGCTCTCCAGCAGCGAGGGGGCACGAACAAACATAGCGAAAACTGAGAAAAGCTTGCTCAGGTCGAGCCCTGGAGGTTAAAGTGGATGGTGCGGAGGGTGACCTTCGAGCAGTGCACGGGGCTTCCCTGAAGCCCTTGCGGCTTCCGGGAAGCCTACCCATCGGTCGTTGCAAGTCGGTATTTTGTGGTTCCCAGAGCCAAATCTACTTCAGCCGCCTTCCTACTTCAAGTGCCGAGTGCTTTTCCCTCGTCCCTCTCCTCTACAGGACACGGGCGGAAGCCCAATCTTCTTCCACAGCCTTCCTACTCCATGGTTCTACCTACTTCTTCCGACCGACGGGCATCTCTTCGGATACGCCCCCCCCCCCGCCCTCTCAGGAGGCCACCTCCCGGGCCCAGCCCCTTGGCGCAGGACCTCGGAGCCTGGATCCTTGACGTCGGGTTAGACTTTCTTCACCTCGTGGACCTCCGGGGTCTGGACAACCGTGGGCCCTCGGAACGACAGGGCCGCTTTTGTTTACCGGTTCCGTTTTGCCGTTTTTTATTGCAGGTTCCGGCGCTGTTTTGTTTCCGGTTCTGTCGCCGTTTGTTTGCCCGTTCCGGTTCCGGCTCCAATTCTGGAGCCGTTTTTGTTGACGCTTCCAGTTGCCGTGTTTTTGTGACTGTTTCCACTTTCAAGAGACATTTTTTCAGAAACAGAGAAAAAAACGACCCTGCCACTTCTATGGCCAACTGAGGTCTGAAGCCCTTTTTCCCTGCGCCAGCTCCTCACCCTGGGTCCTTTCCTGACAGTCCTGCAGCCCCGCGAGGGCTCCCCCTCATGCAGAGGGCCAGCAGTTGTCAAGACCTTCCGCCGTTCTCCTGCACGTTGCCGGGACCCGTCGGGGGTCTGGGACCAGGGTTGAGTCGGGCATGTCCCCCTCCAGGAGGAATATTAGAAATTTGTTTTAGACATAGTCTGGGGACGATGCGCCACTGTGTTGTACTAGTGTTGAGCATGTTTTGCTTACTTATTGCAGTGGCCTCCGGCTAGTGCCGCCGATCCGGGACGCTTCGGTTGCTGCCGGCAGCGCACGATGGCAGTCATGACCAGCGACGACGGCGAGCGGTGAGATGATGATGATGATGATGATGATGATGATGATGATGATGATGATGATGATGATGATGAAGATTGGTGATGGAGGCGACGGGGTAGGATAAGGAAGAGGAGGAGGATCATGATGAGGTGGAGGGGGGTGGGGGTTGGGGAGGGGCAGCAGTTGCAGAATGCTGACGATGAGGAGGAGCAGAAGGAAGCGGGAAGTTGAAGAGGGGGATGGGGAGAAGGAGGAACATGACGAGGATGGGGAGATTGTCGGCGGTTGTTGGAGATGTCCGGCGGTTGTTGGAAAGCCTCTTTGGGACCAGATGTTGGCCCTATTTGGGTTGACACCTCGCCGATTTGGCGCACTCTTTGTAAAGCTTTGTGCTAGAGCTGTCTGCGTCACATTTTTTTGGTTGAGCCTTGTGCATCACCGGCCTCTGCTGGGAACCATTGTGTTTTGGGGGTCAGTGGGGCCTTCGCGCGGTCCTCTGCGGGCCTTTCTGTGAGATCGTGAATGCGAAGGGCACCGAAGACGGGGGAATCTGTGAAAGCGTGGAGGAACCTTTTGTATTGCAGCGCTTGTGTTCAGGCGTAAGCGTTGTGGAAGCATTGGGGCCGGTTTTGGGTTTCTCGGGGGGAGTCTTGGAGGCAGCTTTGAGGCCTCCGAGAAGGCGTATTGGATGCATTCGTTGAAGCTTTCGGGGGCCTCCAAGGGGCTTCATGGGGCCTCTTCGGGAAGAGTTGGAAGCGTCTTGGGGCCTCTTCAGGCCTCTTGGGGGCCTGCTGGGTTTTTCTTGAGCCGCCATCTGTATTTATTCCGCCGTCTTGGCGCCCTCTCAGGCGCCTCTTGGGCCCGTCCTTGGGCCCTCTTGGGCCTCTAAGGGGCCGCCTGGGCCATTTTGGGCCCTTCTGGGGCTGTTTTGGAGCCTTTTTGGCGGTGGGCTTCGTTGGGGTCTTCAGGGGCGCTTGCGACGCTCTGAAGGCCCAAGAGGCGAAGATGCTAAAGTTGTGCGTTTTGCCGAGGGAATGAAACATGTGTTTGTTGTGTTGGGCCTTTTTCGGGAGGCCGACTCGGGGTTTCTGAGGGCATCTTGGAGACTTTGGAGCCGTCTTGGGGACATCTTGGGCGTCTTGTAGCGATCGTTCGGCGACTCGAGGCCTTTTGGCCCATGTCGGGGCCCTCCTGGGCGAGGGAGCCGTCCCGGAGTGAGCTGGAGCTCCGACCCCGCCCCGGGAATTACATCGACTCCCCCCCTCCGACCCCGGCAGAGCCATCCTGGCACCCACCCCCCAGTAGAGCTGAAGCTCACACGCCGGATCGGTCTGAGGCTGTTCTGAGGGTCTTTGAGAGTCACATGCTAGATCGGCGGATTTTCCTCCCAAAACCCGCCTGGAGGAAGACATGCCCGACCTAAGACCAGGGCTCGGGGACGCCTGCCTCGGAACTCTCCGGGAGAGCGCTGTGGCTGGGATCTCGAGGCCGAGGCGGCCGCGGCGACGGACCGCGTCCTGGAGGCCCCGCAGAGGACCCTGGACGCCCAAAGGCCTCGACCCCCATCTCGTGTCCTAGAGGCCCAACGGAGGACCCCAAATGCCCGAAGACCTCGACCCCGTCGATCTTCGGCACACCTAGGGAGCCTCCGCTCCGCGACGAAGTCCGGGCCCGACCCTTGCCGATCAACGGTTCAGGCAGCTCGATGGTCGGCGGGGGCAGGGCCCGGTATTCATCGAACACCCGTCGAAGTTTGACCCCCACCCTCGCTTCCCATGCATTCAGGAGCGTCGATGGTTGGTGGGGGGCATGGGTTCGGATCTCAGCTGCCCTGATACGCCCGCGCTGGGCCGCAACACGTGCCGTGCTCGAGACGTCCGTGTTGACACGCTGCGTGTTGGCTCGGCACGCTTCGGCCCACGGCTTGGGCGGACGTGCCGCGCCAGGCCTACGTGTTCAGCCCGCGTGCTGAGCTCCGTGTGAAGACGCTACGTGTTCGGGGCAGCTGAGGTTCGGATGCCGCCACCTACCCGTAAGTCGGGCCTGTCCTTCTACAGGAGGGCAATTCAAAATTAGTTTTAAACATAGTTTGGTGACCATGTTTTATTTCTTGACAATATTGCGGCATGTTTGGGGTATTTGTAACTCGTCGCGGAAAGCCCGCCTGTAGGGGGACACGCCCGACCTAAACCTGCCCGCAGGGGCCGGGGGAGGCCGTCGGCTGCGCCCCTCGGGGCGTCGAGCCCGGCGGCCCCTCCCCTGGGGGTTTTGGGGGCGAGGCTGCACGCGAGCCCCGTGCGGCCCAGGCGGGGCGCGGGGGGGGGCGCCTCGGCCCGCGCCCTCCCCCCCCCCCTTTTCGCCGAGACTTGTGGAGGACGATCAATGGAGAGGAAGCATGTTGCCAAATAGTGACTAGTGTCCAGATGTCCCGAGAATGTGCTTTTGAAAGATGCACAACAGCATGTCTGAAACATGGTTTATTACCTACAGCGAAGACTGATAGGTTTCTCATGGGGTCAAAAGAGAGCATCTGATGACTCCCCAGGGGGGTTTGGGCGGGAGCCGGAAAGGCGAAGGCCGGGCTCGTTTTAAGCAAACTTCGACCTCCCATAACTCCACTCCCGGGCCACATTTTGAATACCCGGAGCCAACTGTAGGCCACTTCGTGCTCTTCGACTTCCCAGAACTCCGCTCCCGGGCCACATTTTGGATGCCCGGAGCCAACTGTAGGCCATTTCGTGCTCCATGGACTTCCCAGAACTCCGCTCCCGGGCCACATTTTGGATGCCCGGAGCCAACTGTAGGCCACTTCGTGCTTTTGGATTTCCCAGAACACCATTCCCGGGCCACATTTTGAATGCCCGGAGCCAACTGTAGGCCACTTCGTGCTCTTCCACTTCCCAGAACTTCACTCCCGGGCTACGTTTTGAATGCCCGGAGCCAACTGTACGCCATTTCGTGTCCATTTCCCAGACTTCCAAGACTCATCATCTTCATCATCATCATCATCATCGTCCCCGTAGCCTTCTTGGCTACAGCCCTGCTTTCGAAGATTTCCTTTCAAAGGAACTGCGCAGCGCCTACTGCGCACTTTAATGCCAGGACATGCTGATAGTCCTCGGTCTGGCGGCGGTGCTCCTGACCCTGCTGCATTGAACAGCGGTGCTCTTCAGCCTGCGGCAGGGAACAGCGCTGCTCCTCAGCGTGCTGCATTGAACGGTCCTCTGCAAACGCTCGTCGAGCACGTGAAGCAGTTCGGCCGGATACCGAAGCGAAATAAAGGAACGTCCGAACAAAAACGGGCCAGAATTCTACAACAGCACTCTTACATGAATACCACAGGCAATGTTTCCAGCTATGCCTCTACACATCGCTGTTAGGTTGCTTTGCCGGGATAACAACATATTTCACATATTTTAAAAACCATTTTTAACTCAATGATAGGATTGTTAGAGTGCTGATTGTCATGGCATCCGCAAGTCTAGACGTACCCGTCGGTCGTCTTGGAAACGAGCATTTCTGGAGTCCCAGGTTCCTCTGAGCGCCTCCCTCCTGCTTCCATGGCCGCGTGGCTCCACCTCTTCCGCCCTCCCTGGGGGGGCGGGCGGGGCCCACGCTGCTGTCGACGCCTTCCTGCCTCGCACGTTTCTACCTGACTTATGTTTCCGCCTGACTTCGCCCGACCATCGAAGCTGGAGGGGGCCCTGGTGCGGGCCCGGGTGGGCTCCCCCGAACCGCCGAGCGCGAGGCGGCGGCAGCGGCCTGCGCGCCTGGGTTTGGGCCCCCCCCCGCGGGCCCCCCACAGAGCCGCGCGCCTCGAGGCGGCTCTTGCCCAGGGCTGCTCTTGCGTGCCGCCGACCCCCCCCCTCGAGTTCGCTTCGGTTTGCTTTTGATCTCCGGGGGGCAGGGGGGGAGAAGGACTGAGGACGGAGATCAGACAGCAAAAAGGGGGGAGAGGAGGCGGAATTGCTATTCCTCTTCCTATATTTTTACAAGCTCGGGGGGGGGGACCATCCCCCCCCCTCCCCCCAAAACTGGACCCCCGGGATCTGGGGTTATCGGGTTCCCTTGGACATCCTTGGAAAAAAGGTCACCCGGCTTTCGGGGTCTCCACAAACGCTTTGCCAGCAGACCCAGAGCGATCCGAGGGGTCATCAGAAAGGCTCAAGGGAGGCCCCAGGCAGCACAAGAGCGTTCCAAGAGGGACTCCAATTGCGTCAGGACGGCCCAAAAGACCCCCCAAGCTCCCCAAAAGACCCCCAAGGCACCCCAAGGCTTTCAAAGCACAGAAAATCGTCCCATTCCCTTCGTAAAACTTACAAGTTTAGCATATTCGCCTTTCGGAATTTCATCAGCTTTCAAGACGGTTTCAAAGCCCCCGAGATCGCCTCCAGACGCCCCACAAGGCCCCCAAGAAAGCTTCAAGACGGCCGAGCCGGGCCCCACGATCGCCCACGAGAGCCCAAAGACAGCCCATAATGAAACCAAGAGGCCCCCCAAGGGCTCCCAGCATAGACCCAAAAAGGCCATGGGAGGTCCCCGGAAGTGCCCAAGATAGGTCCAAAGGGGGCTCCAGCGGGCCCAAGCTCCCCAAGACGGCCCAAGAAGGCCCAGGACGGCCCATGAAGGCGCCAAAACGGCCCAAGAGGGCCCCGAAAACACCCCCACGATGTTTCCGAATGCCAACATGAAGTCTCCAAGGCACCCCAAGAAGTTTTCCAAGGGGCCTTCAAACCACAAAAAACGTCCCATTAACTTACAAGTTTAGCATATTCGCTTGTCGGATTTCATCAGCTTTCAAGACGGTTTCAAAGCCCCCGAGATCGCCTCCAGACGCCCCAAAAGGCCCCAAAAAAAACTTCAAGACGGCCGAGCCGGGCCCCACGATCGCCCACGAGAGCACCAAGACAGCCCATAATGGAACCAAGAGGCCCCCCAAGGGCTCCCAGCACAGACCCAAAAGGGCCATGGGAGGTCCCCGGAAGTGCCCAAGATGGGACCAAAGGGGGCTCCAGCGGGCCCAAGCTCCCCAAGACGGCCCAAGAAGGCTCCAGGACGGCCCATGAAGGCGCCAAAACGGCCCACGAGTGTCCCGAAAACACCCCCACGATGTTTCCGAATGCCAACATAAAGACCCCCAAGGCATCCCAAAAAGTTTTCCAAGGGGCCTTCAAACCACAAAAAACGTCCCATCCCCTTCGTAAAACCTACAGTTTTAGCATATTCGCCTTTCGGATTTCATCAGCTTTCAAGACGGTTTCAAAGCCCCCGAGATCGCCTCAAGACGCTCCAAAAAGGCCCCTAGAAAGCTTCAAGACGGCCGAGCCGGGCCCCACGAGAGCCCCAAGACAGCCCATAATGGAACCAAGAGGTCCCCCAAGGGCTCCCAGCACAGACCCAAAAGGGCCGTGGGGAAGTCCCTGGAAGTGCCCAAGATGGGTCCAAAGGGGGCTCCAGCGGGCCCAAGCTCCCCAAAAAGGCCCAAGAAGGCCCTAGGACGGCCCATGAAGGCGCCAAAACGGCCCACGAGGGCCCCGAAAACACCCCCACGATGTTTCCGAATGCCAACATTCATTGATTTTGCTCCCATGACAGTTCATATTGTGACCCAGTCGTTGAGGGTCTCGTGGCATGTAGCGAAGATGCGCGAGGAGGCCCCGTACGAGCTTACACACATAAATTCATATGTACATATGTACGCTGTATACACATACAACAATGAAATTATATTTATACACCTAGACATCTATACGGAACGTGCATGCACGCGCGCGTGTATACATGCATGCGCACGTGTCCGCACGCACGCATTCCGCTTGCGTGCAGAACTCAAAGGACCAACGTGCATGGCGCGCAGCGCCAATGCAGTCTTGTATGTATATATATATGTATATATATATGTATATATATGTGTATATGTATGTATGTATACATATATATACACAAATATATATACATGTATATATATATATATATATATATATATATATATTGTGGGAGCGGCATCCCGTCCAAGAGGGGTTGTCCAGAGGGGTCGTCCGGATCCCCGCTGGGCTGTCCAAGGGGTTGTCCGCGGGTCAGGCCGCCTCGTCGCCATTTTTCAGCATGGGTTGTCCGGGGTGTCCCAGGGGGGGGCCCGGGGATTTTTTCGATCGATACAGTCGGGGCGCTGAAGAAGGAACCCTTTTCGTTGGGGAGGGGCTCGGTGCTCCTTGATTGTTTAACAGTTTGCTTCAGGTCTTCCTGAGGTTTTCCATGGGACATCGAAGTTTAACTTATTAGAAAAAGGGGCCTCCCAGACTGTCTCTGTGTCACTGAACGTAGTCTCAGTCACCCGCGGGGGCGCGAAGAGGGCAGTGCCTCGCGCGTCGCGGCCTGGGCCGGAGAGCCGCTCCTCTTCACGGGGCGGCCTCGCGGGGGCGCGGAGAGAGATGCGCGTCACGCGTGGCGGGGCGCAATGCGCGGAAGAGGTGACCCTGGGGGAGAAGCGAGGAGGAGAATGAAGGAGGAGGAGGAGGAGGAGGAGGATGGAGGGGGAGGAGGGGGAGGAGGGAGGAGCACGTAGGAAGGTGAGCACGAATTGAACGTCCTGTCCGCGCCCCTCTTCTTTTCTCTTTCCCCACGGGAGCAGAAACGGATTGGAGGAAGAAGTGGAGCAACAGGACCGAGGGAAAAAGGGGGAAAGGCATCATTCACACATCGGAGAACCCTATCGCAGAGCGAAGGGAGGCAGCACGACAGACGAACGACGAACGACGAAAGAAATCGAGGACGAAAGGAGGCGAGGAGGCGGAGGAGGAAGATAAACGATTCACCCTCAGAACGTAGCTCGGTCATGGACCAAAGCTCTGGCGATCATTCCCGCCGTCGTCTTGGGGTTGGAGGTGGGTGGTGCGAAATAGATCTGAAGCGGGTTCTGGGCTGCTGAACGCGGCGTCTTTGTGTATCCCCTCGCGCATCCTCATCAGGCCAGCCTTAGACCAGACGATTCGAGTGAGCAGGGGGAATGATGATGAGGCGTCGCTGTCATCATGGAGACGGTATCGCTTGCGTGATTAGTGAATGCATTACCGGCGCGCCTGGCACGCCTGTACAGCAGGTGCTCTTGCGTTGGCTCCGGGCGTCCCCATAAGCGGGCGCCCGATTCGAGCGTGGACCGCTCAGAGAGGCGGCCTGTCGAGACGCACGGAAGCCCAGGCAGCTCGTCCAGCGCCCCTCTCTCCTGCCTTCCCTGCGCGTGGATCTGCGGCAGGATCGCGCCGCGCCGGCGCGGCCGCGTCGCCAGCCCGGGCGTTCACGGTGGGGCGCCGCGAGTGGTCTGGGATCGGCCGATGCACAGATAGGGGGCCACATGCGAACCCTATAGCCCTACCCCCTACAACTTCTGAGGGGGGTAGGGTGGGGTTCACTTCGTTCGGGAGCTCCCGAGCGGAGTGAACCCCACCCTCCCCCTCAGAAATCGTGGGGGGTAGGGGTAGGGCCCGCATATGTGGCCCCCTGACAGAGATCCGTGCCAGCGAGATGCCGCGATCTTTCAGAGTTGGCCGTGCCATGCAGTGTCGGGAGCCGCCGCGCAGGCCGTCCTGCCACGATCCTCTGCCGCACGCGCCGCGTGTGGGGCACATCGGTGGAGGCGCCGAAACCCTCGTCCCCCTAAGCGAGCCCCTGCGCCTTCGCCCCTGGGCTTGTGGAAGTCGAGCAACGGAGATGAAGCATGCTGCCTAATGGTTTCCAGACGTCTTTAGACATGTTTCAAGCATGTGCTCAAGATGCAGAAACATGTTTGAAACATGTTTAGAACATGTTTTACGCATTTCAAACACACTCTTCATTCAATGATCGGGTTTTTAGAGTGTCCATTGTCATGGCATCCACAACCCTGGGCCCCCTGCCGTGCCACGTCATGCGGCGCGGAGCCCTGGAGAGCTTCGGGGGTCGGCCCTGGGCAGGCAGGGAGCGACCCGCGGGCCTCTGCTCGCGTCGGGCCCTCGACCACGGCACGCGCGCGGGGCTCCCGAGACGGCGGCAGGGGACGCGGGATCGACATGCTTCGCGGGGGTCGCCATTGATCATTCCCTCTGCCAGTCAGTACACACTGTTCATTGAGAAATATTCGAAAGTTCTTTGATTTTTTGGGGGCCAAGCTCCTTTCATTACCAATTGTTCCGTCCTGGGCATCTTCCTGGCCACTAGGGGGCCAGGAACAATTCGAAACGAGCACAATTAGAAATGAGCACGATTCGAAATGAACGATGTGTACGCCATCGGCGAATACATTCGAACTCCAGCAATGCCGATCGATCCGTCAGGGCTTCGCCCCCTGCCGGCGGCCCCCTCCCTCGGAGGATGGGGAATGCAAGAGCTATGTTCTGAGGCCTGGGCGCCGTCGTGAGGCAGCGTAGGATCTCCGAACGGGTGCCCCTGGAGGCAGGAGCGTGCCAACATCCATCACAAGCCCAGGGACCATAGCAGACGTTGGCCTCTCGGGCCCCCCGGACTCCAGCGGCTCTGATACCTGGACTCCAGCGACTACAGTCGGACCGAGGTGGTTCGGGGAGGCCACCCTGATGTTCTTTGTGCTTGTTGGATGCTCTCGCGCACCCTGGGGAGGGTACCCTCGGATGTCCTGTGCGTTTTGGCCGGCGGAGGATCTCGTGCATAGCTGCCCCGATACGCCCGTGTTGAAGCGCAGCGCGTGCCGTGTTCAGAAAACGTCCGTGTTAAAACACGCTGCGTGCTGGCTCGGCGCCTGTTGGCCCACCACGCTCTGGCGGCCGTGCCGCGCCAGGCCTGCGTCCTCTCGGCCTGCGTGCTGAGCTCCGCGTCGATCGCGCTGCGTGGTGCTCGTTGCGCCTGGGGGGGCAGCCGAGGCCCCGTGCTCGTTGCTCGTTGCGCACTTGAGGCCTCGTGCTCGCGCGGGGGTGCTGCCCTTCCGGCGCCCGGGTCCGCCTGCGTGACGCCCGCACGGGCCTGCGACGCAGCGCGCCCCGCGTGCCAGCGCCCGCCGGCACGCGGGGGCCGTCTCCTCGCGGCGGCGAGCGCGTCGGCACGCGGGGGGGGCTGCGCCCTGCGCGACGGCGGCGCGCAGACCCGTCGTCTCGTCGTCGTCAACGTCGTCCTCGTCGTCGTCGTCCTCGTCCTCGTCGTCTTCCTCGTCCTCGTCGCCGTCGTCGTCGACATCGACGTCGCCGCTGTCCTCGTCGTCGTTCTCGTCCTCGTCGACGTTGTCGTCGTCGCCGTCATCGTCGTCGTCGTCGTCGTCGTCATCGTCGTCCCGGCGAGCGGGCTACCCACGCGGAGGAGGAGGAGGAGGAGGAGGAGGAGGAGGAGGAGGAGGAGGAGGATCAGTCAGGTCAAGGATCAGTCAGGTCTGATCACCCTCCAACAGGCTAGGGCGGTGCTACCCACTTTCAGGCATCAAGTCGTCAGGCCAGGCCGGAAAGCCAGATGGTGCACGAAGGACTGCCCCAGGCTACGCTCGAGGAGGAGGAGGATGAGGAGGAGGAGGAGGAGGAGGAGGAGGAGGAATCTTCGGTCGTGGGCAGACGCCTAGGCTCAGCTCCCAGCCATCATCACAACAGAAGACTGTGAGTGCTGCGAGAGGGGCCAAGAGGACGAGGGCGAGATGGGGGACGCGGTCGGCAGGGTTGCTCCGTGGTCCGAGTGGGCCTGGCCCGACCCCACCCCGCGCGGGGCCCCCGGCCGTTCCTGCCCGTGCCGTGCTGCTTGAAGTCCTGCGGGTGGGCAGCTCCTCTCCGAGGGCGAGCCCGTGCCGACGGGGCAGGCGGGGCCCGCGGGGCCCCGCTCCTCGCGGGCCCCGGCCACTTCTGCAGGCTTAAGGGTCTCTCTCCCCGCCAGAGCGCCCCTCGGTCAGCGGCTCTCTGGGTGCGCGCGGGGGGGTCCCTATAGGCTGCATCTTCGGGGGGGCCTCGCCTGTCCCCGCCCAGAATCGGTGCTTTTGCCTGTGCCCGACGCGGGCTCGGTGCGGATCCTCGACGCGGAGTCGGCGGCATGCGGCGCGGACTCGACGCGGATGCGACGAGTCCGACATGGATTCGGCACGGACCCGACGCATAGGGGGCCACGTGCGAACCCTACCCCTACCCCCCGCGATTTCGGAGGGGGGTAGGGGTAGGGTTCGCATGTGGATCCCTAGACGCAGGTCCCCCGGAGGTGCAACAGGAGGGTCCCCCGGAGGTGCAACAGGAGGGTCCAAAGCCCCAGGCACGCTGGCCGGTGCTGCTGCCTCGCGCGCAACCGGTCGCCGAGCCACGACGGGGATCGAGGTGTCTCTCCCAGGGTGCGTGCCGGCGGCCTTCTGAAGGCCAGCGCCACGAGCACGCCTGCTAGAGGGCCACATATGCGGGCCCTACCCCTACCCCCCACGACTTCTGAGGGGGGTATAGGGTGGGGCTCACTCCGCTCGGGAGCTCCCGAGCGAAGTGAGCCCCACCCTGCCCCTCAGAAGCCGTGGGGGGTAGGGCCATAGGGTTCGCACGTGGCCCCCTAGCATGGCAGCAGCGCAGGCAGAGCCCGGCCGAGGCCCTGGGCCCCGTCATGGTATGCTGCGGGCCCAGGGGGCCCGACGGCGGGCCGGAGCTGCGGCGCCGGGATCTCAGGCAGGGGTTCGCGATCGTGCGTGCGGCCCAGTGCGGGAGAGGAAAATTCAGAGCCCCGAATCATCAGGGGTAACTCGGGGTCAGGGATAACTCGGGTTCGTTTTTCGGGGATCCAAACCCGAGTTACCCCGGACCCGAGTTACCCCGGATAATTCGGGCGCCCAAGAAAATGACCACAGCCCCTGCTTCTTGTCTGCGCCGCCTGCCAGCCGGCCGAGGCAGAAGCAGTGGTTGTGGTCATGCCCCTGGTGCCAAAAGCCTAACGAAAATGGCCACGACCACTGCTTCTTGTTTCTGCTGGCTGGAAGGCGGCAACAAAAGAAAAAGCAAGTGGCTGTGGTCGTTTTCACATCCCGTACCAAGCCTGGGTGCTTGAATGCCAGATGTTTCGGTCGCGATCGGCAGCGGCCGATCGGCGCTCCAAATTGGTCGCGACAGATTTGAAGCCAATCGGTCGCGACCGATGCCAGAATGTGAAGCAAAACCCGTAGTGACCGATCTCGTCGGTCGCGACCAGAAAATTCTGGCATCCAACGATCGACGCTCCTCCCAGATGTCCGACTACATAGTTTGTTCAATCCCAAAGTTTTTCCTCGATTCCGGCCTGTGCAGGGCCGCGATCACCCGCGAAAACGGACCTGGGGCGAAAAAGTACCCCCGGAAGGGGTCAGGATTATGGGGCCGCGCATTGAAACAATCATATGGGCGGACGCCTGGGCAAACGGATCTGTTCGACTCCAGTTCGACTCCAGTTCGATTCAGGTCCGTTTCGAGTTCGACTCACAGTCGGTGGACGCTTGGTCGACTTCATATACCACCCCTCAGGTTCGACTCGAGCCCAGAGATCCGGCTTCTTCATTTTCCTAAGCAATTATTGCGGGGGCCCCGGAAGTTCCGACCCAAACCCAGGGACCGGCGGTTCATCTCGGGGCCCGGCGAGGTCCTCAAGAGGTGAAAATAACGAAATCCAGCTCGACTCTAGTCCGACTCAAGTGCGTCTTCAGTTCGCATCGGGGGCGCCCCCCACCCGACCCTGCGCTCGCACCCCGCAGGGCCCAACTTCGACGTCCGACCGATCCGATCCGGCATCGCCTCCAGCCAGCCCGATCCGATTCGGTTCCGAGGCTCCGACGGCCCGATGCGCCTCGGTGTGTGCCTGGCGCGGCTGTGCATCCTCGCGCAGCGGGTCCGATCCGCTGCCGGCTCCCTTCAGGAGGGAAAAAAACACACAGACACAATTAATCCTCGATTCCTCAGAAAATATGGGAAAATATGGGAAGTGGGGGGGAAGACAGAAACCCAGAACATATGGGAAAATATGGGGAATCTTTTTATTTGTGTGTATTTATTTGTGTGTCCTGAGGCCCCTTCAGTGTGCCTGGCGCGGCTGTGCATCCTCGCGCAGCCGGTCCGGTCCGCTGCCGGCTCCCTGCCGACGCCCCCCGATCCGACGCACGCTCGGAGTCGGCTCGGTGCCCCGGTCCGGTGCTGACCGAGCCGATCCCGACGGGAGGCCTCCGTCCGAGTGGGTCTCTCTCCAGTCAGGAGGGGAAAAACACACACACAGAGACACAAGTGATCGTCGATCCCCAGGAAAATCTGGGAAAATACGGGAAGTGGGGGGGAAGACGGAAGCCCAGAAGATATAGGAAAATATGGGGAATCTGTTTATTTGTGTGTATTTATGTGTGTATGTATGTGTGTGTGTGTGTATTTAAATGTGTGTGTGTGCGTGTGTGTGTATTATTTAAGTGTGTGTGTGTGTGTGTGTGTGTGTGTGTGTGTGTGTGTGTGTGTGTGTGTGTGTGTGTGTGTGTGTGTGTGTGTGTGTGTGTGTGTGTGTGTCCTGGGGCCCCTTCATCCAGGACTTCTGCCCGGGGGCCGCGTGGGCCTCCCTCTCCGCGGATTTCGTGGGCTGGGGGTCCCCTGGAGCGGAGGAGCGGTCTGCCTAAGGCGAGTCGGCGGCGTGCCTCCCCTCTCGGGCCCGACGTGGCTCAGGAGGGAACAAGAACACACAGACACAATGAATCGTCGACTCCCGGGAAAGTATAGGAAAATGTAAGAAGTGGGGGGGAAGACACAGTAGATCCCAGAAAATACCCCGGACCCCTATCTTTTGGCGTCCTTTCTCGAGCCGGTTCGGCCTGTTAGGGTCCTATAGGTCAGGGCCCAGAACTGGGGCACAAGCGCCCGTGGCGAGACAATTGCAGCGCCAATAAAATCTCAGGATCCGCACTCTGGGGAGGACGGGTTTGAAGGATTCCTTTTTCGGATGTCGTCAGATATTGGATCGACGCCTGAACGGTTACAGCCAAGACGCTGAGATGAGGACTGCTTGGGTTCGAAAGGGGGTTGCTGTTCCTCAGGTCATTCCGTGGTCGTTCGTCTAGCCCCCCTCGCGCACCCAGATTTTTTTCAAGGGACGAAAAACCACACCAACCCCGACAACTGGCGGTTACCAGACGGCCTTGGGCGATCACTGAACAGCCGGGCCCTGTTCGATTCCTCCCCCGGGTGCGTTCACTTTCAGTGGCCTCGCTTGCTGGGGTGCTTATCATGAGGTTGGTTGGTCTTGTCTCCAGATCGACAGTCGGCGGCGCGCCTGGTGGGGAAGCAAGATGGGGCGAGCCTTCTTGGGAGGCTCGGAAGCCCCTCAGCCCTCTGAACAGTTGTCGCAGCCTCCCCCGAAGACGCAAAAAAGCATCGGAACGCCGGCGGGCTTCTGAGAAGCCCCGCCGCCTTCTGCGAGAGCCTCGCTCGCGGCCGAAACAGGGCGCGTCGTTCCTCACGCGCTGGTCGTCGAACGTGGCCATCTCTGGACTCCCAGATCCCGACCTGCCTCGAGCGCCCTGGAGCTCCTGCTTCGAGCACCGATCTGCTCCTGCTGTGTCATGGTTCTTCTCTGGGAGGGCCCGAGCCCGGACGACACTTCCTCCGCCCTCCTGCCTCCTGGCTTCCCCCTGCTCTTCCGGCCCGCGGGCCGCACCCGAGGGCGGCCCCCCCGCGCGCCCGCGGCGCCCGCGGGCGCCGCGGCGGGCCGCAGGTCTGCTTCCACCCCGCGCAGCCCGGGCCCGCGAGGGCGGAGCTGAACATCCGTGCCC